AAAAACAAACACCACATATACTCACCACTAAATTGGAACTAATTGATCAGCACTTATGTGCACATATGGAAACAACATTCATCAGAAATCAAGCAGGTGGGAGGGGGGAGGAGGGGATGGGTAATTTAACACCTAACGGGTACAATGCACACTATCTGGGGGATGGGCACACTTATAACCTTGACTCAAACAGTACAAAAGCAATTTATGTAACCAAGATGTTTGTATCCCTGTAATATCTAAAATTATAAAAAAAAATAAATTCAACCCAGATGATATTTTTAAAATACTTTGAAACTTTTCATCATAATCAATTTTAAAAATTAAAAACATTTAAATTTATATTCATATTTTTATTACCAAAATATATGATACAGTGATCAATAAAAGAATTTCAAATCAAATTTATAAGATACATTTGGATAAAATTCTGTGGGGAAAGAAAATGGAAATATGAGTTGGTAAAAAAGAAGAAACAATTGAAATTATCATCTCAAACTAAAGTGCTTGTTCATTTTTTTTTAAATGGATGATGGTGGATATCGAATAGTTATGACATTTGGATGCTACTGGAAACAGTCACAGGAATTATGTTAGAGTTTTATTTTAAATGTCCATATTTACAATACACTAGATTTTTCATTCTCTGTCACTAATTTAAACTCATGATGAAAAAGTTAGATTTCAATGAAAAAAATGTGTGAGGGTTATTTATTTTATACAATCCTTTTTAGGGACATATGAACAAAAAAACTTTTAAAGACCATTGGTTCAAAATGAACTTTAGATCTGAGACTATAGTGCTATCTCCTTTTGCATTCAGTTTATTTTTAAAAAATAAAATTAGGGTATTAAAGATAATAGTGTCCATCATATATCAAGTATTTACAACAGGTAGAGCATGTACTAGTTGGCTACTTTATATCTAATCCTTACAAGTGCTCTGCAAGGGAAGTTTGATATACCTTCAATTTGCAATCAAGGAAGCCAAGGGGCCCCGAAAATGTGAATCTCATGGGAATGGAGGTAGCAGAACTAGGGTTTGAACCTAGGTCTACCTGTCACCAGGATCCCATTCACTTTCCATCAGCCCTGACTCTGTCCTCCATAAGAGGCTGGGCTGGTCTAATGAGTCAGAATAATGAGAATAAGTCCATCTACATTCTAATAGCAATAAAGAATAGAATGAGAATTCTGATCAGCCCAGAAGTCACCATCCCCAGGACTCCCTCCTCAACCATCCCTCTTCCCACAAAGGACAGAGTTAGCTCTTTCCTCCTTTATGCAGTTCCCATCCTCACATGGGGCAAGGCTGCCCTGGCCACCCTGGGCTATAATTTATTTACATGCTCTTCTCTCCCATGAGGCTGTGAGCCACTTGGGGGAAAATTGTGTTTTATTCATTTTTCTGTCTTTACATGTCTACATTAAGCACTTGGCACTTAAGTAGATGCTGCACATGTACTTAGCCATTCTGTCTGACCCATGTCTCCTGATTTAATTCTGGGTCTCAACCCTGGATACTTATTAGAATAAAAAAGTCCTGATTTCCAGGATACACACAAGTCAATCAAATCAGAGTGTCTAGAGTGGGGCCCAGGAATCATAGTACATTTTCAGCCTTTCCAAGTGGTTTCAATGCACAGCCAAGGCTGAGAACTACCGACTGGTGTTGGTAGAGTGGAAAAAGTAGCATTGTGACATGAACCTATCTTCTGATTGCCAACACAATGCTCTACATTTAAAAATACCTGTCAAATTTGGTTTCTGTTCTAATCTTGTCTCCTCGCACCTTACCTACCACTCCAGGGAGAAGACTTCTGCCTTAGTGTATGATATCTCTGTCTCATTCTGGGGTGGCCACCTTATACAAAACAGCAGTATGTACTCTCAAGAAATGTCCCTATTCAGTTTCTATACTATCTTCATAGCAGACAGGCCAGACTTTTTATTAGAGGACATTTCTGGTCGTCCGAGACCCACATCTTGGCTGGCACTGAGGAATAGATGTCACCTTGGCTTTGAGCAGTCTAAGGAGGCCAGGATGTTTACAGGAACTGCAGAAATGCCACCATCAACAGAGAACATATGAGCTTGTGTGGGCTGTGACTCTGTGTGTGTGTGTGTGTGTGTGTGTGTGTGTGTGTGTACGTGCATGCATGCGTGTGCTCATGTGTGTGTTGTGTTTGGGGAATCAAGTCCCAGAGAAGGGACAGCAGCATCTCTTTCAGAGGCTGAGGGATAGAGCAGGCTGGCAGGATTGCTTTCTGGGCTTGAGGACCAGCTATCTGGGGGGAAGCTCCCCTTCAACCCTGAAAAGAGCTTTATGCACCTCTCAAGCTGTTCTACTTCATGGATCACCTCGTAATGACCCTGTAGCGATGACTGTACAAGGCAGAAAGAAAGCCCTTGGCTGTCAGAGGCTGGGAGGAATTTCTAAGGCTCATGGGGATTAAAAACCTCTGTGTCGCTGCAGGAGGGGGAACGAAGCCTTCTGTCAGTTTTTATTCAAGTGTTTCTTTTTGAGCACCAAGCTCACTGACTTTGATGTGAGAATAAATTAATTCCAGAGCCCTGACTTGAAATTTCCTGACTCTGCCTGTCTATTGTCTATCCACCCACACAAAGGAGAAACAGTGGAACCCTGTCAGTTTTTTCAATCGAGCAGCTTGCATTACACATTCTTCTACAGAGTTTTGTAAAAGAGTGCAGAGATATTGCAATCCTTTTTTTCTTCCTTAGGTATTTGCCCACTTTAATGATAAGCTGCTTTCTTTATACATACACAAAAAATTGCTCCTCTGAGCTACAGAAACTTGATTTTCTTGGCCAGTTGGGGATGATAACTTTGGTCTCACCCTATTAAGATTTTAAAAGGAATCATTTACGATGATTCTTCACATAATTCCTAAGGTGTCATATCTTCTTTTTTTATTGAATGTGCATCTTTGAGAGAATATAAAATGTTCCCCAGACTGTCTGGTTCACATTCTAAAGGAATGAAAGCTTTAAAAGCTGTATATGCCTCTCTGACTATAGTATCTGCATTTTGCATGTGAGACAATCAGGAAAGGGAGGCATTCAGTAGCCTTTTTCCAGATCATCCAATAAATCTGGGGCAGAATCATGAGGGGGGCTCTGAGCCTTAGCTTCTTAGTTTCCGAAGAGCCCACCAGTCTTCTCCTTGGAGATTATTATTGGACTATATTATTCCCTGCAGACCAGAGTCAACTTTTTAATCAAGCATCTACTGTATGATATGTGTTAAGTGTTTTTACCTACTTTATTTTGTTTATAAGCATTTCAAGATTTAAAAGTTAAAAATCTTGAAGACATTCCCCCCTTCCTTCTTATCTCTTAGTGTGTGCACACATTATACTAGATTGTTAATGTGTGTGTGTTTCTGTGTGTCTGTGTTATAAAGAAGGAAGAGAATTACTGCTTTTGTGTCTTGGGAAGTTTAGAGAAGTTTCCAACATAGTGGAGATGCAATTTGTCAGTCTTTTCTTTCTGTAGTAGAAATCTTCCTATGATATAAACCTCTCTAGGAATCCTCCCTGTATTTGTGCCTGAAGATATCAGAGCTGAAAGTCAAGTTATCTTCATAGTCAACAACTTAAGTTTAAGTACGAGAAGTGTCACTTCAACAGGGTAATTTAAAATGACTATTGCCTTCTGCCCTAGATGCATAGGAGAGGAAGTATCGGTAAGGGCTTGAGTGTTTAAAGCTCTTTGATATTACAGGACCTGTTCATTCATTCCCCAACTCCCGTAATGCCCCATTTGAGTTACTGGTGATGACCAAGACACCAGAAGGCAGGAGACTGATTGGACCTTCCCTATTACCTGTTCTATTAGTTTCTCTGTGCATTCTGATCAGTAGGATGTGTCATTTCCTATGGTGTGTGAGGCAAAAGGTTTTTAATACAATGATCACCAATTATGAGACTACAAAGAACAGAAATTATATGATCTCATACAAGTTTTCAGAAACCTGGAACATAGAGTTGCTTTCTTAATTTTCTTGATTTAAAAGGTCAATTAGTTGCTGCTCATTACTAACTAGCTAGCCTTGTTTTAAAATCACACCAGGGAGTCAACTGAGATTTGTACATATTCATATTTACATTGGTTTCACTTCAAAAAGGCTTCTTAAACTAACACCTGAACTTCTTCACCTTAGTCTAGAAATACTGGAAAGGAAGAATAAATATAACTGAATGCAATTTATGTAAGATATTTCCTACAGGGGATTCTCTTGGTGGGAAAGGTCAATATTTACAATTAAGTAAAAATAAATAGAATACTGATCTGGTCTCAAAATCATTTTTCTATGTACACATAGGCAAACACACTCACACTTACACGGCTACATGATGTGCACATGGGTAGACATGCAGCCTCTGCTAAAGATACCAGTAGCTTTTGAGATCAGTGAAGTGTTGTGATTACAAACTTAATCTGTGGAGTGAGTTAGAGCCGAGTTCAAGTCCGGCCTCTGGCTGTGTGATAGTGTGTAAATTACTTAACCTCCTGTACAGTATTCCTCTTATTTAAAGCAATACCTACTATACAAGTGATTAGATGGAATAACATCTAATATACCTGTGCTTCCAAAACAAATACATCTGTGTTTCCAAAACACAATTCATCTGAGAATCTTATTAAAAATTGCAGAGTCAAATTCAATAGGTCTAGAATGCTGTTAGTCCCTGAACAAACTTTGAGTAGCAAGGCACATGCTAAGATTTCACAAGACAGAAACCAAAATTGCTATCCACTGGTCTTGCAAGCCAATTAAGAAAGCTGAGAAAGGATTTTGTTTGGTGACCAAAGTGAACATGGGACAAACTCAGTTTCTTTAGATGTAGAGAAGATGAAACACTGGAACAAGGTTTTAGTCTGTTCTTTCATTTCGCATGAGGAGTTGCTTGACTTAATTCCCACTCTTCTGCCAAGGATCAGCCAAGGAGCATCTGAATTTACAGTCTCTTTCTTACCTGTCATAGTCTTGGCAAATCTCCCCCACAGCTACCAAGGCCTTCAGGTACTCATTGGGCTGGTAAGGGTGGATGTAGTGCAGGGAACAGCTGTTCCTGGGGTCTCCATTTGAGGCAGTGAAATCTATAGCTACCTGGAAGAAAATAATAGAACAGGTGGATTTAAAGTAAATGCATCTTCTAGGAATTATGATCAGCCGTGACAGAGATATGGTGTCAGATGAAAAGCAATACGTTACATACCCCACCAATAAAAAAGCAAGAGAAAAAATTAATTAGCATGAAGACTAGTTATTAATTTGGTTTGAGGCCATTTCTGCAGTCTTCAACTCCCCCCACTGATCAATGCACTCTCTTCTATCTGTCTAAACCAGAACTAGGGATTGACATATAGTTCGGAAAGCATAGTTGCTGTTGATCCACCTCACCAGGCAACAAGAGTAAGGATAGAATATCTGCGCTCCAATTTCACAATTCACTAGGAATAGACTTCGGTGCTCCCTGGACAGAACAACTCCATCTCTGAGGCATGGGTAAAAAAATCCCCTAAAACCACATTCTGTGTTAAAGATACAGTCTTCATAACAAAGTCATCGTCATATTTCTGTGAGTGACCAGATGAAAAGAGATATGTTCAAGTGGTGATAACAAATTTTCTGCACAAAGCCACTCTGTGTAAGGCATTCAAATATTTTGCTCCCATTTGTGTAAGAACTCCTGCCATAACAAAGAAGATGCCCAAATGTCATGGCGCTGTGAGTGGGAAATGGAGAAGGGAAACTTCTGGCCTGCCACCACGCAGTCATTATCCTTCAACTTTCTAATTTTTTTCTGACCCCAAGATCACAATCATCTAAATAAAAGTTGACTCACTGAATACTTCTTAACAACAAACAGCAGCAGCAACAACAAATGCTTAAGCCTGAGAATGTTAAAATGAGAAGGAACATTTCTTCTGATGTCCAACATCATCACCATCCAAATAAAGGTTAAGCCAGAAAAAAAGCCTCTTAAAAATGCTTAAGCTTAGGGTGCAGAAGGTTAAAATGAGGAGTCATTTGGGGAGAAGGAAATATTCATGTCGCATCTTTCCTTTCCTTCTGGGGAACAGAAAAATGCATTCATTGACATTCATATGACAGAAATGCTCTATTTTCTCATATGATCTTGGGGATTGTAAGATGGGAAATGTTACTTGTGTTCTATTTGGCAAATACCATTGGAACAAATAACTGGAATGCTCGATTGGGTTCATTAAGGTGGAACATCACTTCTGGAAGGGCTGAGAAAAGATGCTATGTGCTTTGCTTCTGCTTAGGGAATAAGGTGGATAGAAAAAAATATTACCCATCTTTATTATTATAACCCCGCAATTGAATCAAAGTGATTAGAAAAGGAAAACAACAGGCTAACAATAATTCACTTGGAATTTTTTCTCGCTTTCATGACATTATTTTTTCATTATTGATTTTTATTTTCTTTTTCTTCCTCACCCTTACACAGAACTATGTTGAAAATAATAGTTCTGTGTTGAAAATAAATTTAGGCAGGATTCAAACTCTGTTTTCAGAATACCCAGGTGTTTTCATCAAGGGGTATCTACAGATAAAATGCTAATAACTAACAGGGTGAAGAGAAAAGTTCTTATGAAGAAAAACCATGGTACCTCCCTGACCCTTAGATAACAAAGGGAAGAAGAGAAGAGTAATCTTCGTTAAAACCCTTCTCTGCAAGACACCCACTTCTGAGGGCTTCTCTATCCACAGATGGCCATGCCTCAAAGAAACACAGTCCACAAAAACAAAGGCCAAGATGGGCTGAATCTTAGAATGGCAGTTTATAGAGAGTCTGCCAAGCAGAAAGATGACAAAGATGACCCAATTACTCTACTGGTCTATCAGAACTGCAGCCACAAAACCTGAGCTCCTATGAGTCCAGAATGATAGTGGGGAACATGCTGTGGTCACTCTAACCCTTTTTAGGGAGAGGCAAAGATATACATTGTAACCAAAATATCTAAAACAAAAACAACTGTTATTGGGAGGTGGGCAGGTGGAAAGGGGGAGGAGGGGCAGGGTGTGTACTTACATAATGGGTGCGGCGCACACCACCGGGGTAGGACATGCTTGAAGCTCTAGCATAGTGGGGTGGAGGAGGGGTGGCAGGGGCAATATATGTAACCCTAACAATATTTGTACCCCCATAATATGAGGAAATAAAAGGAAAAAGAAAACCTTCTCTGTGTCAGGCACTGTGCTAAATGCCTTAAAGGTGTTATGTTACTTCGTTTTCATAAAAAATTCTGTGGGGCAGAGATAATTATTCCTGTGTATTGATGCTAGCATAGGTGCCCAAAGGTGATGAAGGTCACATAGATAATAGGGCATGAAGCTGGGTCTAAATCCAAGTATGTATGGCTCCAAAGACTGTGCTTCTTCAGTATGTCATTGTACACCCAGGGAACATGTAAGCCTGTGACCAACCTACAAAGACTTCTCATGGGGGTAACATTCCTGTAAAACATGGAGGGAATTTGGCCTGAAGGTAGGGAGACTAGCTAGGAGGCAACTACAGTAATTTAGGGAAGAATGGCCTGGAATGAACAGTTTTTTGTGACCAAAACAATTGTAAAAAGTAAAGAAATGCCCATGGAAGTGTGTGTGTGTTCGTATGAACAAGAGTTGGAGATTGTATTACTGAGGATGATGGCGGGAGGGGGGGGAGCAGGGGGGGGTAACGAAAAGGGAACAATACAATCCAATGTCTTCTAAGATGGGTTTCATCCTGAAGATGAGAGCCAACCCACTGGAAAAAGGAAAGAAACACGATAGGTGAAGGTCCTTGTAATCAAAAACTGTGATGAAAAGCTGGTGGTGGAGAGGAAACTACATGCATTTTGTGAACAAGAAGGAGGTGAAAAAGCATCCAGGATCCACCCATGAGGCCCCAACCAGACAGAGGTACAAAAAAGTGCAGATAATTCTAGGAAAACTACTAAGAGGAACACTCCAGAGGTGTTGCAATCATACCTCTGAGGTGAGATCCTCCTGAGTCTACTAAGCTCAACTCCCAGAGCCCATTCTTAGCACTTTCCCCCCTAATGAGACATGTTTAAGGGAGAATGGCCCCTTACACGGGTGTACATAGGTTTAAATGTACATAGGTTTAAATGTACATAGGTGTACATGGTGTTTAAAAGGTAAATTCAGTGCTGAGAAGGCCAGGTGTAAAGACATCCCTTTCTCTTCTACTGACAAAAATATTTCAGAACTCCAGGGAATTCTAGACAGTGTGAAGATGTTGCTATGGAGAGTACCTTGATTCTGTTCTAATTTATCTAAAAAGTAAATCATTAGCAAGTGTTGGTACTTTATTATTAATAACAAGTACCTCGTGGCCCTCCTCACTTCTGATTATGATGCCCCTTGTCATGGATCACCACGCTGCTCAGCACTGAGGGCTTCCTACCTGTGCTTCCTGATACTGTGGCTGACGACCTATCCCAGTGCTGATTGCCTGACTGAGACTCTTGAAGTGTGAAAGGTATTCTGTGATGGCAAAAACGTGCTAGTGCCTTGATACAACACCAGAGAGTGAAGTCAGGTAATATAGACCAGAGGAAAAAATGTCCATAAAGAAAAATGACAACTCAAGAAACATAATTGTCCCTCCTAGGCCTCCTAGGTATGGGCAAAATCCTCCAAACATGCAGGCACCAAGTGGCAGTATCTGAGCTCAGTTATATCACCAGGATGAGTATATTGTGAAATCTAGAAAAGTGTGTGTAATGTCAGGATGAGCATAGGTAGATATTGCAACAATATATTTTTGTTATATTTTATTTTTTTTATTTCAAAATATTAAGGGGGTACAAATGTTTTTGGTTACATGGATCTCTTTTATAATGCTTGATTCATGGCTATAAGCATGCCCATCACCCAAATAGTGTCCATTGTACCCGTGGGTAGGTTTTTGCCTCTCAGGGAAACAAACAAACATATAAAATAGGGCTGGGACTAGGGTAAGACAAAAGAAGAGCCTAGTATGTAAAACCCAGGGAGGCACTAACTCTCACCTGCCCCTATACTTGCACAATTCTCAAAGTGGGTGCTTTTGAAAATTTTGTACCCCAGGTGCCTCTTGCCTTGCTTTGGTCCTGGAGCTGCTAAGTCGTTTCATTTCTATCAACTCTTCATCCTCAGGCTTGGAATAATGTTCTTAATGCTTAACAAACTAGGGTGGGCAGAGATGATGGTGAGAAGGGGATTGGGATTGAAGACATTAAGGATAGGAAAAGAATAGGATCTGGTGGCCCATTGCATGTGGAGTTGGATGTCAGGGAATGAGAGTAGCCAGATTTCCATGGGGATAGAGGTAAATAATACAACTTGAGGATAAGGAGACAATGTGAAGGCCAATGTTAGCAGGTTAGTATTGGGCTGCCTGTTCTTGGTGGTCTATATAGACACACAAAATGCCTGGTAGAAATTTTCCTATCTTTCTACAGGCAGACCTCTGGGTTTCCACTTTTCCCATGGCAATGGTCCCTACCTATGTGACAATGAGAGAGGCTAGTCCAGCTCAGGAGATTCTGATATAGACCTAGGGGAGGGTATGAACTTAAAAATTAACTGATGAAAAAGGAAATAAATTCATGATTCTTATCATATAGCCCTTTCTGTAGTTCTCATGGGTCATAACAAAAATATTTTACCATATGACTAGATAGCAATGGACAGTCTTAAGTACCTGACAGCTATGAGATTCTCACCCTCTCCCCCCCTCCCCCTCACAGCAAGTGATGGTTTCTAAAGTCTCCCTCCTGAAGCCGGACGTAAAATATCTATCTTCAGGAAGTGGCCTTCTCCGAGAATTCTCAGTGCTCTTTAAAGTTAGCATTAGTGAAAAGAGAACGGAGTGAAAGGTTAGTTTTATTTCGGAAAGCAACAGGGAGGCAGTGAAAGATGGGATTAAGTTGAAAAATAAAAGCAAAAAAAACTGACTGAAAAATGCCAGTTTGTGGAGGTGGCTGCCAATGCCTGGCTTTCTGAATGCCGGTGAGCTTGCAGAACCACCACGTTTTCATTTTCTGACATGAAGCATTTATCAAAACCTGTGGTTCTAGTATGTGCTC